ACAATTTGTTCTTTTGAACCCAATAAAAGTTTATCAAAAATCTTTTGCTCTGAGTAGAAACCTTCTATTTTATCTTTTGTATATCTAGATTCTAGCTGTATTCTAGGCCACCAGTCTAAATATACATTCTGCGACTCTAGTTCCTCTTTAGACCTTAATTCACCATCCTTTTTAAATAAATCTTGATATCTTCAAAGGTTTGCTTTTGTCATAAGATTAGGTTGTGTAAAGGCCTCTATCGGTGACACCCATACAGGAATTTTGTAATAAACTTGCTGTATAATCTTTCTCCACATTCCCAGTAAAGCTTTCCTTATCATATGTGAGTTAAAATTCTTTTGTTCCTTGTCCTTTTTATACCATAAATATGCATGCCAGCCTAGTTGCAAATCGTGTCCTTCCAAGACAAGTAATCTATCATTTTCTAGAGTTAGCCATTCTTTTATCCGATCTAAAATACAAGCTCTGAATGGGGCTAGCTTAGATCTGACCCATTCCCTCCACCAAGCTGAAAATTTCAGCATGCGGGCCCTCTGCAAATCATTCAAAAAAACTTCCAAACCAGCCTTAGATAAATGAACCCCATCACCTCTGTACCATTGTGTTTTCCCGAAAATAAGACAGGGTCTTACATTAATTTTTGCTCCAAAAATGCATTAGGGCTCATTTTCAGGGAATATTTTATTTTTTTCATGCCCGAATGCATCTACATTTATTCAAATACAGTCATGTCATATTCTTCTGGTTGCTGCACAAGGGTGGAGGGCAGGGTTTCACTTCACTGGGGCTTATTTTTGGGGTGTGACTTATTTTTTGGGTAGGGCTTATAGTACAAGCATCCTGAAAAATGCTACTAGGGCTTATTTTCAGGTTAGGTCTTATTTTTGGGGAAACAGTGTATTCTGGCTGATCCAAACAGATCTCCAGATTCCAATTACTGAACCTAGCTCATTAATAACCACCCTGCAAACTTCCTTATTAACCTTCCTATGGGTCCTGTTTATACAACTTGGATAGCATTCCACTCTGCAGAAATGCTGGGGAATGATTGTGGACCAAACAACTCTTGATGATGGGTACTTGACCTTCCAGCTCTGTAAGTCCCTCAAAATATCTAAAATGATGGACTTGCCACTCCTTCTGGCCAAGTCATTACTGCCCAAGTGAATCAACAGCATGTCTGGGGTTGTACCCAACACTCCTGAAGATGCCACTTCATTGAACTTTTTCCAAAGCATGTCTCTCCGCCCTTTCCAGTCCAACAGAGCAGAGGCCCCTTGTCCCAAATCTCGGCCCCAGATCATCCTGGCAGCATGCGCTGCTGCCCAGTAAATAAAGCTGTGCCCCGATAACAGAATCTTCCATCACCACCTGGGCTGATCCAGTCCTGAAAACAAAAAGCACAAAGAGCTAGGAGCCAGCCTACAGCTGCAGCATGTTGTATACATAAAGCCAGTACCTACTGGATGACAAACTCCCAACCTTCTTTATCTCCTCTGGGCTGTATTCCAGATTAGCCACAGTTGATGCTGTCCCAGTATGGAATGAATGGGTTCCAAAATGCCATCTTTCCAAACCCACATGTCCTAAAGCAGTACCCGTGACCTTCCAGAATCAATATTTAGTTAGTGGTGCACCATCACTGTGGCAAAATAGGTAACCCTGTGTATCATCTCAATGCTTCAGGTACAGTTCCAGCACCTGAACTGAGCATATTTCTTTGATAGAACATTTCCCTAATGGGATGTTTGTCCCTCTCCCCACCTGATCTGATCTGTGTATGTGTAACTGTATTCTATCCACTACCACTGCCACATCTGCTTGCTGACGTGTCACTCCTGCCAGCTGAAACCACCTTGCTAACCCTCAGTGCTCCAAAAAATGTCAATAGTGTCACTGACTGAAAAAGTGAAGCCTCATATACATCCTTACGAACACTACCCCAGGTTTGGCTAAACCTTATTAGAATGCTGGGAGTAAACAGGGACCTGTCATCTGGTGTCCAAACCCTTTCCTTGCTCCATCCCTCAATCATTTTATGTACCCTAAAATCAGCTGTAGTGTCAACAACCCCCAGAGCCTTGGCCTGGAATGCCAATGCAGACATTTTTCCTTGAATAGAGCTAGGCACCAATCCTTTCCTAAATAAATGTTAAACTGCAGTAAGTGCTCTACCAGTATAGGCTATGCTAACTTCAGTCTCTCATTAACTCTGAATGCTCTAAATTCCTCGCATACTGCTGAATAACCCCGGTGATTACTTGGGATGAGTGCCAACCCTATCACTCCCCGAGCTTCCCTCCTCCAATCAACCATACCTCTTGTTAAAGGACTTTGGGCCACCAGTAGGCTTCCCAAGCCAATGCCCTAAACCATGTGATCTGTTGATGGGACAAGGCATCAGCTATACCGTTGTCTAAACCAGGGATGTGTTGTGCATGGATGACAATATTAAATGGCAAAGTACGTAAAACAAAGGCCCAAACTAGCCTCATAACCCATTCTAGTCTTGAAGACAGGTTATTGATGACGTGTACAACTGCCAAATTATCACACCAAAATCTGACTACTGCGTTGGCCCATTCCACTGCCCATAACCAGAGGGCACCTAGTATAGGAAAAAAATTGAGGAATGTCAGGTCTCTTGTTAGGCCTGAGCATTGCCATTCCATGTCTAAAACTTGTTGACACACTCTCAAGTTCTGCCTCATGTCTACTGTAACCCTGGTTCTATGAAATGTCCTGCACAGCCTGCTCATGGTATCACACACAGTCTG